GGTATCGGTTGGACGAAAGTCGCCTTCCGAGAATTTGGGACTACGCCTAGGGAGTAGGAGTACCGGAAAAGACGCGTTAGAACCGGTGCCAACTCTGGAGCATACGTCCTCAGCACAATTGGGGGGATCCCGTCAGACCCACTCGACTTGTGGATGTCCAGGGAGATAAGTGCTTTGTGAACCGAGCGCTGTGTGAACTGCACATCCGGCATGGAGCACACACACCACGGGATGGTCGGCGGTGTACTCCCCCGTTATCGAGAGTCGAGTTGGACGCAAAGAAAGAGCATAGCATATAGGCTTTCTCCTTTGCATGGGCCAGTGAGTCTTCCTCCCTGTGCGTAGATGGCTGACAGAAGTTCCCTTCGACAGCCTTGGCGAGAGACAAGAATGCACGGGTTTCCGAAGGAAGGCGAACTAGTTTCTCGCCAAATCTGCCGATGTGCTCTAACTTTGCTTTGGCAATGACTCTTTTGGCCTGACTCGACTGACCTAGAGGCGGAATCATAATTATATTTAAGAGCTCTGGTGTTTACGTTCCGATACGTTGATACGTCAGCCCAGGCCTGCTTACAGCGTGATGCTATTTTACTGGAGCGACCAAACCATGGCTGAGATCTGTCGCCCATGGGCACCACAGAGGAATAAATAAAAAGTTACATAGCTTGAAGTACCACATCAGCGACAGAATTAGCAACAACGTTGGGATCGTCCGGCGAGAAGCAAACCATCCTCCAAGGGTAGGATGCAAAGAAAGACCGCGTCCTATCCCAATCGGCCGGCCTATAATGCCAAACACGGCGTCAGCCTGCAGAATGCAACCGCGATGTTAGTGTGAGTGGCACCACACTCCGGACTAGACAATGGTCGAGGAGCCAAAAGGGGCGTCGAAGGAGATCTGATATCTATCCGGATGAGAGGGCAGCAGAAGGTCCAACAGAGAAGGTGCATCGTCCTCCATATCTAGAATCCGGGTAGGCGAAGTAACCAGTTGTGTCAGACCATATGCCAAGGCAAAATTATGAACAGATCTCCCCGCATAATCGGTTAAATGTGAACCATGCCATTCGGCGTGGTGGGCGTTACAATTGCCGAGGATCACGATCTCTGCGGATGGGATCTGCTGTAGCAAAGAAACTGTAGCCCTTTGGACGTGGTCGATGAGTCGGTCTGTTTCGGCAATACCGCTATGGGATAATAAGATATATATCTATAGAGGCACCTGTAGACACGCGGATGGTCGTCGCTGTCTACGCATAGCCAAAAGATGGACAGGTCCGAACCTTCAAGACTGCCGAGGCGTCGAGAACAGATGTCCTCTATGATGTATAAGCAAACTCCAGCCCGAGGCACAAAGGAGTATTCCAATTTGTACCCCGGGTAGGAGAGATATGAAGTATCAACCGGAGAGGTCACCTGCGTCTCGGTCAGAAAGAGCAAGGCCGATTTCGCCGTCTCAAGATGGTAGTGGACGCCATTTAGGTTCGAGTAAAGTCCACGCGGCGGCGACGCGTCGACATGAACTCACGCTCATATCTGGTGTGTGTATGTGTACTTCATTGCATTCAAAGTTTTATCACATTTTTGCCACAATCACCATGCTTAATAGGCAATAGGCTATTTCACTGATTTACGGTATGGGTATTTTTAACCTTGTATAAATACAAGATGGTTGTACCGCCATATATCGGAAACTAACAAGAACTGTTTTACCAAAAAAAAATATGTGGTGATGGATTTTCTCATAGCGCTACTATAAGACGATACCAATCACTACCACAATATTTTTATCTCTTCCTGGCTGAATTCGACTATAGCAGCAACTTCCAATACCATTGGAATCACAACACAACCAGCCACTACAACTATTGTGTAACTGGTGATAATCGTGGTAGAGATTGTCTAATCTGAAAACGGCACTAGCCGTTCGTATTTTCGGTAAATTTCGTCACATTTATAATACAATTAAGCATTATAAAATCTAAATCTGTATGGCCTTTCTATTGTCTTCTAGAAGATTTTAGCGTTTTGTAGATATTTGACATGATAAATGTGATAAAATAGAATACGTGCCGTTTCAAATTAGACGATCGCTGTAACCTTCGTTTTCACTTTCGACGTTTTGTTTCATTGTCGATTACTAGCCGATATATTTTTAAACTGATATCATATATACTCTTAACTTTCAAATCATAGTTACGGGGTGAATCCGACGTAACGATTTTCAAACAAGTTTGAAATCGAACTGCTGATCCGGAAAACGTTAGTTTCTGCACAAATGTTGTGTATTTACGTTACACCTGTAATCCCCGAGGGGTTAGGTAGAGTCCAAAGAGCAATACTCCACTCGGACTACGTTTAGCCAAAAAAAATGGGTATATATGGAAAAATGTGAAAGAAGCGATAGGCTAGCCCATTGCAAACACAATATCCCATTAGTCGCCTTTTACGACAAGCTTGCCTAGCTTTAGCCTAATAACACTGTTGGCACATTATTTTTTGTTATAAGTCCCATATAAACATAAGACCTATGGTTCCGTAAAATGAACCCAGGACTCTGAACGCCGTACTTTGACCACGAAGCAATATATAATATGTTTGTTTACAACCTCGGTGACATTTAAACTTTCCTGACACACATTCACAATAAAACGCTGTACCACAAGTAAACAAAAAACATCGTAATTCTGAATGCTGACGACGCTTGAGATCAAAGGTCGTAGAAATTTACACTTGATATTGCATATGGGCTTCATATGTTATATTTGTTTTAACTTAGTACCATTATTTCGTTTAAGGAGGTTAATTGTACTTTAAACTTGCGAAGTTTTAATTCTATATTATATGTAATTAACGTCGTATTGTGTAGTAAAATATGTAATAAATGTTAAACCTTCTGTAATGCTTACAGTTGTATAATATTGACCTAATTCACTTGTGCTCGTGACACTAATCAGCGACCATATAACCCTCGTTATACTTAGCATACAAGGTGAGGCATAATGTTATTGTAATATATATTTTTTAAGTCATTAATATTAAGAATTTCTCCTGTATAGTTAATGCAGATACCATGCAAAGAGCTTTCCGTGTAGGGTTCGAGTCCGCGGACCGCAGCAACCCAGTCTTAGGCACTGTGCCGCGTTATCTATTTGTTTAATCTTTATCATACACCTAAGGGATATAAAGCACAGACTTAATGCCTTATGGCATTAAGTCTGTGCTTTAAATGTTTTAAATGTTGCGATAGTTTAGCAGCTGTGGTACTGTATTTTGTTCTTACTGTATTGTCACTTGTCCATAAGTCATATAATAATTAAATTAACAAACAAAAAGTTCTCGAGTGGCAGCCTCGTACCAGTTGACGCAGTGTAGGGCGACCCCCACTAGATGGAGTGGCGACCTTGTAAGACATGCTTTGTATCATTCTTTGCGGGAGGCTGATATTCAGCAGTGGACTTGTGAAGGGTTGTAATGGTGATGATGAATACTAGTTTTTATACCAGTATTCATTCGTTACAGCATTTCATATATTGCCTCATGTTGGGTATATTTGCCGTAGTAGCCGCTGTTTTTTTTTAATTTGAGCTGTAATCAGAAAGATGCCGCATCCCCATATCCTGTTTTAGTTCCTCTGTGTACGATACCCACGGGATAATATTCTCTTACGCCGCCAGTAATTACCAATTATTTTGGTTATTAATATAATGGTATCATCAGTAACACACATATACATATTAAAAATACGATAATAACTTATAAAATATTATTACATAAGTAGTATTAAAGGTAAAATACGATTTTAACTGACTTTAATTTTAACAGTGGTAGAGCCACGCGGCAGCTTTTTGCTGTCGCACGGATGGGCCGGCTCGAACCGGGGTAGTACCACGACCTCACAGAAAACCAGCGTGAAGTAGAGGTTTACCTCTGCGTTTCGCTCGGTGAGTGCAGGTGGCCGGAAGCCCTTTTTACTGGAAATGAGGCATTTCATCTTAGTCCTCACGGGTGACAACGCATCTACATTTTGATTTGTAACAGAGGATAGATGTAGATGTCTATGGGCCGCAGCAACCACTTACCATCAGGTGGACTGTGTGCTCGTTTGTCTCCCTTATCCCATAAAAAAAAGTATATAATAAAAAATACATTTTAAATCCTAAGTATGAGAACTTTAAACTTAAATATTAAAATATATATATATATATATATATATTTTATTACTTCATTTAAAGAATGCATTATGTTTTGGCGGGAATTCATAAAAATAATATTATGTAAACACTACGAAAATTTGGACTTTGTCCTCTCAGATCAATAACTAATGCTTTAGTACTGAGTTTGCCCTCACCAATCAATCCGCTTTTTCTAGCGGAGTAAGTAAACACAATTAAATTTGTAATAAGTAAAACAATTTTAAAAGTTATGTGGTTTACTTTGTCGCATTTATGGAAAACTATTTTTAGAAGTGTATAAAAATGCAAAAGGCAGAGAATCCTATGACTATTATATATTGTTATATTATTAAAAATATGCCAAATATAAAAATATACCAAAAATAATACAAAACTTAGAAGTTCTAACAAACATGTAACCGAATTCTATCGGGATAAACAGAAGCTACTTAGAGTGTAATTAAAGTATTATACTTTGTGTAAGTGGTAGATGTGATATAAATTACAATCAAACTTTACAACTGCGATCTAATTAAAATTTGCCTACTTACTTAGCACCGTGACCTCGTTACTTGCATATTATTTTATGGACTTTGTTCCTACGTTATCGCGTTTAAATCTTATTTTACAATATCACATTTTGGTCGCGACGACGTCATGACGCTACGTGCAGTTTAAGACATGCCGAACATTCCAATATCATTTCAAACGTGCTTTTATATTTTAATGTAGATGATTGTACGTCGACATTTGAACGGCCACTTTAACCCTTTCTTTATATTTGCTTGAACCTTCTTTAACTTATAAATAATTTTGACTTTTCAGATGGACAGCAGTTCAGAAGCGATGGAGCTGCGGCGTGAGCTGGATGCGGTTAAAAGCGCATTGCAGCAACAGTCAGAATCTGTCCTGAAGCAGCGGCATCAACTGGTCGAAGCAGGGCAAGCCCTCGCAGCCCGTGACAAGCGAGCTGCGCAAGAGAGACGGCTACGGCAAGATCAACTCGCGCTCGTTCTTCGCTCTCTTGTCCTTCTAGAATCCCGCCTTACAAGAGAACAAAGACAAATAAACATATCACTTCAACAGAAGGACAAAATTATCAAATCACAACAAGAAGAAATAGTAAAACTTAAAGCTAGAAAGTCCTATTGCAGCAACTGCCAACAGCTACTCGGATTCACTAGTGAACAAACAAATATTGAAACAGATCCAGAATTCCAAAGCTTAGAAAGTACTGATTCCAGGTTTCCAAATACATTTGTAAGAAGTTGTAGTTATCGCGAAAGAAACTCTCCTCCTGTTTTTCAAAAGAACACGCGACTTAGTAAAAGCTTTCAGCTGCCGAAGAGCGATGTCATATATGGAAACACTAGCTCCAGTGAAGAGGGCAATCATGCGAGTATCAGTAGTAAAGGAACATTCATAAAGAATAAACAAGCGTTTAGCAGACGCGATGTGTTTCGAAGATCAAGGAAGTATTCAGGAAGAAAGAATAACGGAAAGTACTCCAATAACATTCAAAAAGGTTATGTTAATCAAGTTAATAATAGTAGTAGTGCTGAAGAATGCATAAGTTTGAGCTACCAAGTTAATCAAGATGACAACGACTCTACAGTCAACCTAATTGCAAATGACATAAGACGGGCTTCGCTAAAAATAGATCAACTTATTGGCGAAGCAGCTAAAAAGGAGCTCGAGAGTACTCAAAGCGATTCTGATAAAACATATTCAACAAAAATGGAACGATTACATGGCATCAAACGACAAGCATCTGATGAAATTAAAGCTAATAGACAACTTTTTCTTAACAATGTGCTCAACGAAGAAAATAATGAAAAGCCTTGGTATTGTAATGTTAGTGATCCAGAGCAAGATGCTGATGACCTAGACCAAAGAAGTTCATTAAGTAATAATACATCGAACAACAACGAATTTGTTATCGCTGATATTAATGGGATTCGTAATGCTGAAATTGTCTATGCCAAGAATGATATTCTGTGTGATAACATTATGAAAAGTAACTTAAATGAAAAATATATTTCAAAATTTGACGATAAAAATAATAACATTGAGGTGAACTTTCCAAAGCAATCTTCTATAAATGAAATCAATGAGAATTGGTACGCCAGCACCAGCGATGCTGATGATAGTCCTCCTAATGAAATTTATAAAAATAATCCCGTACTAGAATGTGTCAACCAAATTCTACTGCAAAATTCTTTAGATGACAGCAGTAACGACAATTCTAAATCTAGTGAATCCCCAAGCCCTAAATCAACGACAAAACGTGTTCAGTTTTCTACTTTAAATAGTATTTCTTACGATGACAAAATAAGAATAAATGGCAGCAATAACACACTTCCAAGGACTGATAAAAGAGCCAATAAAATCGTTAAGTTCAGTCTAGAGACTGCTTCTGAACACAGTTATGAAGTCCCAAACACAGCTCAAGGATTTCAATATGAGATACAAAGTATCTATAGCAATGAATATGAGCCAATAGTGACAAAAGCTACGGAGCAAAAACCTGCGCCGTTACCACGAGTAGTGCCAAATATCGAAAAGATTGTTCCTAGGATTAGGGGCTCCATGGTTAAAAATATTGCCGCCAACATCGAGAATCGAAATAACTTAATGGAAGGAAGGATAGATAATGTTGGATCAATGAAGATGTTCAACAAAAGGAAAGTGCCACGAACTCCTCCTGCATTGCCGCCAAAGCCAAAGAATTTATCAGCTAAACTGAAAGCTGAAAACACTGTCAAACTAGCGACAGAACCGTTAGACTCTGAAGCCGTTGCGGCTAATCAACGGGTTGCAGACGTTAAGATGAGAAAAGTGGGACAAGTAGCAAATGTAAAGAACGTAGAACCGGACTACTGCTCCATTTCAGAGATAAATGTTCCAGTAGTCAGCAATGGTAAACGAGAGTTGCTTCTCACACAGCCTACGGTAGAGATTCATAACGAACAGTACCCGATACATGCAGTTAATCAGAGGAACAGCGTGGCAAAGGTTATATCCTTGCCAAGAATCCAAAATAAAATCAGTGATAAAGACATTCCAAAACTTCCACATGTCACTGAAATCATAATTCCAGACGAAGATGAAAAGCCAACCGAAGATCATCATTCATTTCCGAAAACGGCTGACGGTTACTTGACTAACTTCAATATCCATCCTCTGCAACCGAAATTGGATCCCCGTGCTTCGATCCAAATGGGAAACACAGTATCTTCTATATTGTCAGAAATCAACAGAGGTGTAAAGTCTGGCGGTAAGCAAATCAACTTGACTGAATTAGATCATCAATTTAGTCCTCACCATGGTCCGGAAAAGACAAATGTTAATACCGCAGAGCCACGCAAAGCAGAGTATCTTGATGATATTGACAAGTTTGATTTGTCGCAGGATTTTGAAGAGTTTAAGATAGACGATGAGCTTGGCAGTATAGTTGCAGAGGAGTATCGCATTAGTTCTAGTAGCAGTGACGGTTCTGCATGTGACGTGGTAACGGAGCATACACACACCAATGTACCTGAAAAAGATAATCAGCATAATATGAACGATAATGAGAACGGAAAGTCTGAAAACTTTCATGACAACAACGAAAGCACCATAAACAAAGCTCTGTCAAAAAATGCCAAGCTTTCCAACAAACCTGATCTCCTATCGAATATAGAGAATTTAGAGACTGAGTCCGTAAGAAATTCCGATATAGAATCCAGTAATTCTTCTGGTAGTAACAGCGGTTCTTATAACACTGTTAAATGCGAGCCGCGAATGATTATTAGTTCCGAGACGAACGCAGCTAAAACGAAAGGGTCTTTCGATTTCTTTCTGGAAACGTCTGGTCTGAGTTCTAAGTCTATATTTACACCTAGTAAGCACTATTTAACTATGAGACCTCCTAGTGCCAATCATAAGAATGTATTGAAACCTAAGGATATAAAGATGCGTGTTAAAAACCCCATCGCAACGAACAATATCAACGAAAAAACTATGACGACCGCTATTAAGTATTTTGAGCCCTATGTGTAATATTTTACTTTACTATGTAATGTATTGTTTTGTTATACTTCCTTTACAAAATGTTTGATTTTATTTATTGTAGAAATGAACTTGCCTGCATAATATTACTATTGTATTTATGTTAAATAGGATGTATTTTGTAAATATTTTACTTATTTTAGTTGTTTCATAATTATGAAATATATTATAATAATATGGAGTCGCTGATTTCATTTTAAAATAAAAAAAAAACTCATGAAGCAAATACAAAGAGGAGGTATTGTAATTAGATTTCACTATGTAACAACGCGTGACAATTTGCGGGGTAAGGGGATGTTAAGCCCCGCCCACTTTACACTATCTACATCTAGCGATAAATAGTAAAACTACTCGAATCGTTCCATATCGATGTTGCAATGTAGTTTAGCTTCCTTGACGATAGATGGCGGCCTGTTCACAAAATAATTATAAACTATAAAAATAATACTTTGGCGATTAAAATTTCTTTACGTCTGAATGCAAAACAAATTTCAGCACCTTCGAATGATTATACCAATACTGAGCTTTACGTACCTTTATATTTTTAGTTCACATGACACAAAGTGTCGCCATCTAGTGTCGAATATATTTAATTATATTTGAAAGCCGACGCAAAGAGATTTTTCTAGAACTATATACTATCTTTAACTATAATATTTAAAATACTAACTATAATAAATCAGGTGTAAAATTACTTACAAATGAAATGTGATGCCATCAATAGCATCAGAGACTCTACCTGAGTAGTTTTTACACGATAAAACACAACACGAAAATACACCGATTTGCGATTTTCAATACGAATGCTGATAGTATACTAATTAAAGCCATGCCCACTATGATGACGTCAGGACCTACTTAGAATCACAGTGCACAGTTGCTTATGCCGTCTCCTCTTAGTATTTGCTTCATGGTCCCACTACTGGGCATAGGTTCATTTCTGAAAAGTTTTTTTATAGAATAAGTGTGACAAACGAGCACATAGGTCACTTGATGGTAAGTACATGCTGTAGCCTATAGAAATCTACATCTATCCTCGATTAAGAATCAAAATGCAAATTGCGTTGCCACCTTTGAGGACTAAGATGGAATACCTCGTATCAAGTAAAAGGGTCTCCGGTTGTCTACACTCGCCATACGCCGCTTCATACACCGCTATCACACAGCAGCTATGGGCTGCTATTATACGTTGGTATTCTGTGAGAGCGTGGTCCTTCCCCGGTCGAGCCGACGCATTCGTGCTACAACCATAATATAACTGCAGCATGGCTCTAGCAATTAGTCTGTCGCCCTGCCGCAAAACGTGTTGACGGAATTCATATGTCTCCGAAATATTTGTATTCTTTAGACATGTAGGTTTCCTCACAATGTTTTCCTTCACCGCCCAGTTCATGGTAAACCAGCATTCAAATTTGAAAATAACGATTTTATTGGTGGAGTTTATTGGTATTCTCTTGAACCAGAGATGCTCGCGTACAGTGTAATTTTACGGCGAGTGCTTAGCACCTAAGTAAACGTTACAACGGATCTTGAATATAATATAAAGAAATGATATATTATAATAGTAATTAAAGATGAACATGTCTGCCTGACCAATCATAACATAACTAAAGTAATTAGATTTTAACTGCGCAGGAGATATAGTGCTACAAGTACGCTTACAAACAAGCACTAATTAATTCTAACCCTTTTTGTATAGAATAAGACGAGCACACAGTCCACCTGATGGTATGTGGATACTGTGACCCATAGACATCTACATCCATCCTCAATAGACTCAAAATGCAGATGCGTTGTCACCCGTGAGGACTAAGATGGAATGCCTTTTGTCCAGTAAAAGGGGTCTCCGGTTCTCTACACTCACCATACGAAACAGCAGCGTTAAGCTGCTATTTTACGCTGGTATTCTGTGAGAGCGTGATCTTTCCCCGGTCGAGGCGATCCATTCGTGCTACAACTATACTACTAATATAGCTGCAGCATGGTGCTACCACGCATAACCTAAAACCTAAACGTATATTCTACCACGTATAATCTAACCTAAAACCGAGAGAGTCTCTTAGAGATAAATTTAAAGAAATAAATATATTAACTTTGGCCTCTCAGTATATTTACGAAAATTTAATGTATGTTCACAAAAACAAAGGTAGTTTTAGTAAAAAAAGTGATATACATTCTGTAAACACTAGGAACAAACACAAGCTAGTGATACCAGTTTCTCGACTCCACAGAGTGAGTAATTCATTCTTGGGGCAATGTATACGCTATTACAACAAGGTCCCGGAAAGTGTACAGGCTCTCTCTATTAACAAGTTTAAATGTTTTGTTAAGTTGAAACTGTATAAAAAGAGTTATTACAGTATAAATGAATACATGGTTGATAATAACCCCTTCGAATGAGGTGATCGCTTCCAAGCTGTTTCTAATATAAATTTTGTACTTATATAGTTTGTAAAACCGTTATTGAAAAATTTGCTTTAAAAAAATTCACGCTGGGTTTCTTGCTGGTTCTTCCCAGGACGGAGGTTTTTTTTCGAACCAGTGGTAAAGTAAAAAATGACTTTTAATAAGAATTACACGTGTGATCTATATTGAATAAAAAATTATTCTATTCTATTCTATTAAATTACATTAAATCTTTTATTATTTTTATATTATTATCCTCGATTAAGAATGAAAATGCAGATGCTTTTTGACTGAGGACTAAGATGGAATGCTTCGTTTTCAATATGAAGTCTCAGGTTCTCTACACTCATCATATGAAACACAGCAGCATTTTTACTTTACGCTGGTATTTTATGAGAGCCACCATTAAAACACAGCAGCATTAAGCTGCTATTTTAATAAGAATATTACCCCATATCATACCGTGGGTGTCGTAAGAGGCGACAGAGTGAATCTAAAACAGAAGATGGGCAGCAGCATCTTCGTGATAACAACTCAAAATACTAATAAACTACGGTTGCTAACCCGCCTGCCAAGCGTGGCAACTATAGCAAAATCGAAACTATTATCTTTATATATAAAATTCCGGTGTGCGTGTATTCGTAATTCTTCTAAAAGGCTTTTTTTATAGGATAAGGTTGATAAACGAGCACAGAGTCCACCTGATGGTTAGTGGTTGCTGTGGCCCATAGACATCTACATCTATCTTCGATTAAGAATCAAAATGCAGATGCGTTGTCACCCGTGAGGACTAAGATGGAATGCCTCGTTTCCAGTAAAAAGGGTCTCCGGTTCTCTACACTTACCATACGAAACACAGCTTAACGCTGCTATTTTACGCTGGTATTCTTTGAGAGCGTGGTCCTTCCCCGGTCGAGCCGACCCATTCGTGCTACAACCATAATATAGCTGCAGCATGGCTCTACCACGTTTGAAACGTCTTGACCGATTTTTATGGAGATCGACCCAGTAGGTGGCACTATTGTCGATATCCAAATATCACCTGTGCTGTGCGAAGCTGGGGCATATCGCTAGTTTAATTATAAAGTATAAAGTTACGAATATCATAAGTAGGTACATGCAATTATGTGGCATTAGCTCCCACTTAAACGAAACGGTTTATTAATTACGCAATGACTGTAATTTATTTTAATAAGCTAATTATTGAATCATTATATTATTACTTCCCTTAGCAATTTATTTCTAATGAATTAATTACAATTTTATATCTATGAAATTTATTAATATATTATTTAAATCTAATAGAAATAAAATATATTAAGTAATTATAATACAGGGTTATTTTGCAATAACCGGCCAAATTTGCAGATAGGGTTCAGAATAAGTAACATAGGCAAATGTAGAAGAAAAATTAATTAAAAAAAAATACTCACACATTCTGCCCTTTTTATCCTTTAAATTCAAAATGCGTGGTAATGCATTATTTTAACAGATTTTACCTTTGTATTAGCTTCATGGATTTTACTGTGCGTACGCACACATTCCTACCGATCTAGGTAGGCAACAACGTTGTTGCCCATAAATCACATTCAATTTGGGATAATTTCAAATAAAAGTAGAAGCCTTATTTACTCGTATTTTCAAAAACTGCAATTATAGCGGTATGTCATTATTTATATATTTGAATTTAAGTTTAAAATTTCTCGACTCTTTGAAAAATAACCGTGTATAAGAAGTAACTTTAAACTTTAACCAATTTGCGGACGGTTTAACCGTATTAACCGTAACCGTAGGTGGTCTTAGAGTATTAATGATGTTCAGTGACTCTTTGGAAGTAACCGCCAGTGTAGAATTATCCACTATTGCAGGATTAGGTAGATGTAGTTATCCTTTCAGGCAAATATAAGCATTGGCATATTTTCTACGGTAGGCCCAAGGTGGCATAAACCTTTCCTAGTTCGCAGCCTACTATCAGCGTTGAAATTTTGTCAGTCACCAAGTTTTTAGGAGGGACACTAGATTTATATATATATATATATATATAAATCAAATCTTTTTCCCCATTTGCGATAATAGGTACCCCATGCAACAGTGAGTTAAGAATAGTGTGAATAATCAGGAGTCAGAAGATATTACAAGTGCATAAACAAAGAAAATTCAATTAAGCCTTCCGTATATAACAGATATACGGTTTTTAATATCCCGCTTAGAAAATAATAATTTTCAAAAGTAGAAAGTTATTTATTAATATAAATAACTTTCTACTTTTGAAAATTATTATTTTTTAGATTTTGAGAATGTTAGTTTTCATCAGAACTCCACGTTTTGAGGTCCTAGGAAGCCGTTCCGAATTCCGAATATTCCCTGCTGAACGTCCGGCTGTGTGCGTGTGTGAGTGTGGGTATAAATAAAATGTTGTCGTACGATATCTTTAGAACGAATCTACCGATCGAGATGGGCGTTCAAAAATGTTCATTGAGACTTCGAACTGATTAGAATTTCAAGTCAATCGGTCGAGCCGTATCAAAGATTTTCAAAAAATTAAAACCAGAAATAAATTGTTTTTAAGTTTTTTCTAAATAACTTTCAAAATAAAAGTAGAATTACTAATTAATCAACTCCAGATATCAGAAACACTTTTTTGTACTTAAAAAACTGCGTCGAATGCTGCCAAACAAGTCAACATCGAACGACGGGTGCAAAAATTACTGTCATTTAAAAATTTGTGAATAACCGTTCCCGCTTATAAGCGTTGCACTCGAAAATAAGCGGGAGGTTACAGTGAACTGCAGGGTCAACGGTTTTTCACATTTTTTTACGGGAGTTTGAGAGCTCGGTATACCAAAGTTACCGAACGTTTTGTTAAAGCAGGGATACTAATGCGATCCCCACGCTGAAAAAGTATTTGTATGAGCTACTAATAATTTTTTCGTGTCTGGATGTTTATGTTGTGCACGTGCACAATTTATGTTTCTAAATGTTTCCACAATAAGGGACATATTCTAAGCGTTATTTAACCTCTAATGTTTTGAAAGTGCGCCTATGCGAGGCGCTTGAGTTAGATTTTTTTTAAATTATTTGTGTGAGAACAAATTGTCCAAGGAGTGACATCTATCTATAAACTTAAGAAGTAAAACACTATTTAAATATAAAATATCCATATCGTTTTCGACAAACTAGGTATTTTTATTATATGTAGGTATATTCAATAGCCTTTTGAAGCGGCTTTTCTCGCGGGAACTTCGCTTTACCAACATCACGAGTGTTTCGTGCCATAATCCGGCACAACTCGTCTGTCTGTTCTTCTCAGAAAAAATAATACCTATGTTCGCTCCGTAAATTGTTAAGAGTTTAGACATAAAATTAATAACTAGATCACTAGATCATAGTGAGGGTTTTTAAATGGTTTGCATTGCATAAATTCATCTAGGTATTATTTGTAATAAAAAAAAAAACTGTGTAATAAAAATTTTATTATTAGAATTAAAAGTATATACAAATTTATTTCTTATGTATGTACAAAAATTTATATTGTAGTTTACAAATTATCATAACTTCTAAATCGTATCAATTTATTACTTACAGTTAACGAACTTGTAACTTTAAACGTTTTGAGAACCTTCCTTTTTATATACTGTAACATTTTTGTAGATGAGGTAGTGTCTGATATTACTTCTTCGAAAGTTTCATTTTCAGTTCTTTCAATATCAAAACCTAAATCATTTGTGACTGTTATTTTACTTATGTCAAAGGAACTTCTTGCAAATCCAGAATCCAAGCTGTGCAGATCACTAGTAGAAGGCACTCTTGCAACAGATATATTTGAAAAGGAATCACACAGCTTCACATTACCCTTGCTGCGTTTTCGCACTTCGATTCGTGAATAGGGTTTCGGCCTATTTCTTTTTATAGTCTTCAAATACTCTTCGGAAGAAAATGTCGTTGTAGGGTTATCCACTACTGCAGGAATACACGTAGTTATCTCTTCAGATGAATCCAAGTCGATTGGCTTTCCCCATTTACGATCCAATGCACGCGATGCAACAGTGAGATGCAAATGAAGGTCCATTATCAGTAGTTAATTCGATATATGTGACCTTCTCAGTGAATATGAATAAATAATAAAACAAATGGGTGTTAGTATTTAAATTTATAGCAAATATCACTACCCCCACTTCAACAGAAGGGTTAATTAATTTAATTGTAATCGATTAACATATGGCTACTGTGGAATAATTAGGTAAATTGAATGTTTAGGAAAAGTAATTAGGTGATTTTTACCTAATAACAAAAATTCAAATTAAATTATATTATATCAAGGCTCGTGACAGTTTATTTAAATCAAATAACCTTTATCAAAAATCGCACGTCGTCGTCGCTCAGTGAGTAACAGAAAGCCTCTGAGTTTTTCTGTGTGATAGAATCCGCAGCAAAACCAGAATAACTGATATAACCCAACGGATTAGTAAACTGAAGTGGCGATAGGCCGTCCATATCACTTGACGAAGCGAAAAACGATAGGCAAGAATGTTTTGATAGTAGCAGCCTCTTAAAGGCAAGCGGAGTATAGGACGGCCTCATGCCTCCACTAGATGAAGTGACGACTGGTAAGTGATGCAAGAAAGTCGATGACTTTGGAACGTGCTTTGTGGCATTACATTTCCACATTTATTGAGATTATAGTCAGGCGTTTAAGTTCGCTGTTCGGTGGTCTATTATTACCAAACCATCCGATTAAAATTGTCGGAACCGACTCGAAATTGATGTCAGATTGTATTAATTTCCATACAAAATATGTCATAGGAATACCCGTTGTTTTGTCGGATTTAACATCCTACAAGTAGGCAAAGAGCCTTAGGGCTCTTGTTTTTTTTTTAGCATAGGGTGACAAACAAGCACTCCACTCCACTTGATGGTACGTGGATACTGTGGCCCATAGACATCTACATTTATCCTCAATTAAGAATCAAAATGCAGAATGCGTTGTCAACCCTGAGGACCAAGATGGAACACTTCGTTTCTCGTTAAAACCGGTCTCCGGTTCTCTACACTCACCATACGAAACACAAGTATTAAGCTGCTATTTTTTTTGTGAGAGTGTGGTCCTAACCCGTTCGAACCAACCCATTCGTGCTACAAACATAATATAGCTGCAGCGTGGCTCTACCACATTCAAAATATTGTATTGTATCATAATCCCAGCCGCCAAATTTCACGAACGCACATCGCGGCAGAACTCCCGATACCATCCACACCATTTGGATGATTGGCGGTCCACCACTGTGCGATTTAGAAGATGTTTTCTTCCTCGCACAACTTCCTTGTGGAATAGTTTACCACCAGCGATTTTTCAGGACCGATACGACTTAGGGACCTTCAAGAAAAGAGCCTACTCCTTTTTAAAAGGCCGGCAACGCTTCTGCAATTCCCCTGATGTTGCGGTTGTTCATGGGCGGCGGTAGTCACTTACCATCAGGTGAGCCGCATACTCGTTTGCCCCCCCCTCCTATAAAAAAAATCATACTTACTTAATTTCATTGAGATATTATGTACTACGTACATACGTACATCAGTTATATTTCTATACTTAAATTAAAATATTATCAGCATATAACGCATCTCTGTACGTGATAGAGCCACGCTGCAGCTATATTATGATTGTAGCACGAATGGGTTGGTTCGACCGGGGAAGGACCACGCCACGCTTTCACATAATACCAACGTAAAATAGCAGCCCAATGTTGCTGTGTTCCGTATGGTGAGTGTAAAGAACCAGAGACCCTTTTTACTGGAAAAGGGCATTACACCTTAGTCCTCAGGGGTGACAACGTATCTGTATTTTGATTCTTAATCGATGATAGATGTAACGTAACTTAGCAGCATTAAGTTGTTAATTCACACTGGTATTCTGTTAAAGCGTGGTCCTTTCCCGTTCTAACCGATCCATTCATATACAGCCATAATATAGATGTAACATGGCTCTAGCACGTGATAAAAAAAATCGTTTTCAATAGTAATAAAAACATTTAAAACGCAACATGAGAATGTAGCATTTTGCCGTTGAATTCGGAAGACCGGATCTCAAAATTCACTATGTAGATATCTCTCGTCTTTGAGTTCCATCAGGATTCGGTTATTTATATAGATGTCTATTATCTTTGGGTTCCGGTAATTAATTTTCACGAAGTAGAATGTTCTTGTTAATCATTGCCATTTACATACTCGGCTTAGAAACGATTTACTTACTAAATGTGTTATAATTAATTAATCATGAATCGGCTTTAGTTAAATAATTACTTTCTAACACCTAATTTGTCTACATATTTTCAACAGTAGCTAATTAATATAAGTAGTTTTAATAACCATTTGCTAGTGAGGGTAATGATATCATTCATTTAAATTACTTTACAAATGTAGTTTTTCTAATCATAACTTGATCATTTTTTTGAGTAAAACACTAATACGCTAGTCAGAATATATCTCAATGAGTCAGAATGGATCTTCATCTGCATCTCATCATAAGACGCCTAAAACCACGATCTGCTGGTGGCCCTGATCGCATTCCCGCTTTTCTGGTCAAGGATTGTGCGCCAGCTCTTCGTTCACCGCTCTTGTTTATTTTTAATCTGTCTCTTAGACAGGCTACATATCCAGAACAATGGAAACTATCTAGGGTGACACCTGTTCCAAAGGGAGAACCTGGAAAAGATGTTTCTGCTTTTAGACCTATTGCGGTGCTTTCGGTTCTGGCGAAGATATTTGAAACCATGTTGGACTTTCGCATTAGGAATCAGGTAGATAACATTTTGCATGAAAGTCAACATGGGTTTCGAAAGAATCGTGCAACGACTACTAACTTGATAGCGCACGTAGACTATGTCTGTGCTGAGATGGATTCTAGGAGACAGGTAGACGCCGCCTATTTCGATTTTAGGAAGGCTTTTGACCTGGTGAGTAATGACATACTGTTACATAAGCTAGCTAAGTTGGGCTTTACTCCGAAACTTCTTCAACTCTTTGCTAGCTATTTGGATAATCGTCGTCAATTTGTTAGAGTGAGTGGTTTCGAATCCGCTGATTATTTCACTAGATCTGGGGTGAGTCAGGGTAGTACTCTTGGCCCTACGCTGTTTTTAATTTTTATAAATGACTTGCCTACCAAAGTAAAATTTGCGAAGTGTTTGTTATTCGCAGATGATCTAAAATTAAGTTTGGCGATTGGTAGTGTTGCTGATGCACAGGCTCTTCAACGAGACATAGATGCGGTATCGAAATGGAGTCAACTGAACCATCTTCCTCTTAATGTGACTAAATGCAAGGTTATCACTTTTGCATTAAAACAGAATCCTGTTATTATTAATTATAACTTATACGACGCGCCTTTGGTAAGAGTATATGACATACGTGACTTAGGTTTAATATTAGATAGTAAATTGAGTTTTCACAATCATATGACATCCATATGCAAGTTAGCTAGTAAGACTTTGGGTTTTGTGATGAGGACTGCAGCTGACTTTGATGATATAAGGGTGGCTAAAACTTTGTACAATGCGTATGTTCGTAGTAAGCTAGAGTATGCATCTGTGGTCTGGAATCCTTACGAGAAAAAGTATACTCTCTTGTTAGAGAGGATACAACGTAAATTTGCTCGTTGGCTTTATAAGAAAATTCATGGGTACTACCCTTATTTGTATCCTTCTTTATTCGTCTTGGGTATGGTTGATTTTGAAACCCTAATGTTTAGGAGGGTGATGTCAACTATTAGGCACTATCTTTCTATAATTCACCACAAGTTGGATTGCCAGTCGGTTATGGAGAGAATCGGTTTGTTGGTGCCCAGGTACCTGCATAGAGGTAATGGAGGAACGGTGGCTCCGCGCCGTAGGGCGCGTCTTCTAGATAGACCAGTTACGCGTACCAAACGTGCTGCTTTTGCACCAACAAATCGTGCATTAATACTTATAGGGGACATACTCACTCAGCACGATGAAATTGACCTATTTGCAGACAGTATAACACGTCTGCTGACTCTTTTTTATAAAATCATTGATGATATGACAATTAATAATTGGACAATTTAATTTCGTTGACTATGTACTATTTATACTTTATATTTAAGATGTAATTTTAATTATGGGCATATTAAGATTGTTATTAGTTTTTATTGACATTGCATTATAAATTGATATGACAAAATGTTTAATTATTAATACTTTATGGTTTTAATTGGCTTTATTACCATTTTAATTTCTGACACGGGCTGCCAAAAGCTTCGAGATTTTATATTACTATTATTTTATAATTAATTAATTTATGATTATTAATTTTTGTTGTAATGGATGGATACTATTTCTGAAAAAATTTTTTGCATGTAAAATTTAACCTTGTGCGCGTGTTGGATTTTCTGTAAGCCACAAGTTTATGAATTAAATAAATAAATAAATAAATCTCACTGTAGCATCGCGTGCATTGGACCATAAATGGGGAAAAGCAATATAAATGTAATATACATACAGAAACACTCACGCCTGTCACCCAAAGGGGTAGGCAGTAACTATGAACTACCTAATATAGTATAATAAATCATTATGTTATATGTTATAATTATAAGGCAATTTTTATTAAATAGAAAGTAATGATTTTTTTATCTGTAAAAATGAATCTCGCCATGAACGCCAAATCAAGCAAAATAGCGGCACGGCCGTACCATCATTTTCTTGACCGCACTAAACAATCTAATTTAATATAATATGTATTACTTGTGAGATACATTGTGTTTTCATGCGATGGCCAAGTCAATCTATGTATTTAAAACATAAAAGATTTTTAATATTGATATGGTCACTATAAGGTGTTGTTAGGTTAGCTAATTACGTAATAACTTGAGACATAAAGACCCTTAAGTAGGGACTGAATAAATTAACCGACTTGGTATTTCATGGATCTCACAAATTTTTACGGTAGTAGAACTGAGTTGCGTGACTTGTTTTTTTTTACAAGTTATGTTTTTGATGGCATATAATATATTGTTACCGTTACATCTTTTCAAAAGTCGAGTGCTGAACATAGGACCTCCCCCATATGTTATTGTTTCTCAACTACAGTTTTTTTTGTTGTTATTAGAAAAATGCTGCTGCCCATCTCCTGGTTTGTTTCCCTCTGTCGCTTCTTACGACACCCAAGGAACGAATGGGTTTGTGGATATTCTCAAACCGCTTTAATATAATCAATATAATGTCGGATCAGGGATATTATCAAACAACTTTTTTAATTTAACATGTTGGAGTTGAGGTGAAAGTGGAGTAGATTATCCTAACTTGGATTTAGTTACTCTCAGAATTAAAAAAAGCTATTCTAGTTTTTTTTTTTTCATTTAAGAAGAAACATCATCATCATCATTACAGCCCATTACAAGTCCATGTCAGAACTGCCTGTCCAGGCCTGCACCATACATAGTCCTAAAATATGGTCTTAGCCACCTGCATTCATCAACTACCTGACAGTTTCATTAGGTCATCACTCCATCTAGTATTGAGTCAACCAATAGGCTGCCCCTCGAGAATTCGTCATTGATTCTCGGTTCTTTAGGTTCTTAGCCTACTTTCCTGCTAGGCTATGTCAGTTACACGTATCCTTCTACGGATACCTCATTACGGGTTTTACCACGAAGCGAAACTCCGTGGATAGCCTTTCCATCGCTCACTAATTGACTTTAAACTTTTACTCATTTATGCCAGAAATGGAAAACCACCAGAAGAAATGTATTACTAAAGAAAAATAAGAAATGTAATGTGTATAAAATATTTATTTCACATGATATTTACAATGCATTCAGAATAATCAAAGCTGGAAACCAAACATTTCACAGAGCTCTACAGTCAGTCATGTGTGATAAGGCCTCATTTACTAGGACAATTCTGATATACTAAGCTTGTTCATGCTGTCAACAGTGTCATTTCTTTTTCTTCTTAACTGGTGCTTTTTTGTTATCCTTTATATCTTTTTTCTGCACCTGAAATAAGAGACATGTTTCTTAATACCCTTACTGATATGTATGTTACGACTTATGTTAATGTAAATAACAAAATTGAGATTAACTTGCTAAACTTAGGATTAGTTTTGAGCGTCGACTAATGTTATTTATTTATTACATTAACCCGGCGTCACTGTGGTAGAAAATTGTAACACGGACGTTGAGGTGGGTCAATATGACCCGTATATGTAAAATGTGATATTTCCATGTTTATTCAAATTTTCGGTAATCTATTTTATTATTATGATCTATTTTTACCCTGAAATTAAAAATAAAAGAATAAATTTTATAATTATCAAATGTTTATTCTAAGTTTTTAAGCTTTTCCATAAACTCACAAAAAACCGTTAACAAAATTGACATCCCTTACAGTTTCATCACTTAACTAACAAACTACCGGTCTTTTTGGTTACAAATGACACTTATAATAAATACTACTAATAATTCTTTGAAAATAAGCATAAAAAGGTTAATTTGAATCGTCATTGTTTACACAATCACTGCAGATCGTATCTACGATGTGCTGGGGACGAACATATTTGTTGCAACCTTGACAAGTGTGCGTTGTTTTACGGTCTTTTTATGCAGGACACACTTGGCATCTTCTACGACCATTAGGTATCTTTGAAGGAGGCTCTTCTGATGATTCGCCAACAAATTGTTTTATTCTTTTACACATTTCTCGTGGCAAACGATCTAAATTCTGGCCTTTTTTTTCAAGTGATCGCTCACTAGAGCCAGATCCAAGCTTTTCAAGAAATGTTGTCGCTTTTCTTTAGGTTTACTATTATTTATTCGGTGTATTATAACACCGTTAATCCCAGACATATTCAATATAGCATAAAATATGGTAAGGGGCCATCTCTTGGAATTACGGCTCACGTTATATGTTGCGCAGAGTTCATCGGCGACATGCATTCCACATTTGGTTGTATTGTAATAGATGTTGATTTCGGGTTTCCGTTGTTTTCCAGTTAAATCATCAATTTTATTATCATCGTGGAAACTTGACCTCAATCAAACTATCTTATTTTTCTTTGGGACATGATATCTTCTTTGAATCCAAACCGAGATGAAAATACTTCAGCGTTACGAGTTCTAATGAATTCAGGAGGAATTTGTCCTTTATTCTTACGCAAGGTACCAACTGATGTTAACCGGTGTTCTTTCAGCAGATGCTGGACAAGTTGATAACTGGTAAAACAGTTATCAAACGTAACGTTGCGGTTTGATTTTGAAATAGGTGTCACAATGCGATCCATAATATCAAAAGGTTTATTACTGGCAGCAAATAGACCAGGGAGTTGTTTTTCGGGACATATAGATAGATTCAAAATATAGTAATTTTTAGCATCCACCAAAGCTTTATTATCTTTATACCATACTTTGCTGATTTTGATGGTATATATTGTCGAAATTTGCACGAAAAGCGATTAGCATTTCATCAATATTTAGACAGTCACCGGGGATGTAAGCAGTTTAATTTTCAACAAAATTTTCAAAGAGTTCTTATATCAAACCCAAGTTATCAAGTTGCTTCCTTCCTTCACGAGTAGTTTCATCATCAAAACACAGTGAGCTTTGTATGAAGTGAAAACGCTGTTCAGACATCACTAATCTTAATATCTCAACACCTGTGCCATCGGAAGCCCATAAGTCAGTCAGATTTTGTCTTCTTGAGCGCACTAAGCCGGCAGTATATAAGAGGCTAATAAAAGCTTTGAGTTCTATCATACTACATTCCTTCATATACGTTTGCTTCGACAAATCCTAACACGATGCCGTTTTGCGTCTAATGCGTGTATTTGTGTAAGTCATAATTTTTTGTAACATACCATCACTGAAGAATAAGCCCCAGCATTCCAACTCAGAAGTAGCACACTTAGCTTCTCGTGTCGCACCTGGCAATTGTGTGATTATATTTTCTGCCCACATCCTCACATTGCGCCGAAAAGGTGTTTTAAACCAAACTTTCCCATCCTTACCAAGAAATTGTAGACGTACCTCACGCCGTAAAGATGTTTCTGGCTCTTATTGCAGCGAAGAATTCCATTCTAACTTCACTCAGTGGGACATTATCGTCATCACTTTCTGAGCACTCCTGTTACGTATAGCTTGCTTGACTACAAACACTCACGTGATCCTCTTCATCCGCGTCATCGTTATCAGACAAGTTTTCGTCTGAGACAGATTCCTCAAGAATTAACAAAATACGTTGAATATCTCGATCCATGTTACCTTAAAAGAGGAAATAAAATATTGGTTATAAGAAACATTAACATAAAACGCAAAACAAATTATTACCGTCAAACAAAATTTATTAATAAAAAATCGAAAGTTAAAAGAGGAGCGACACTGTTACGTTAATTGTGAGGATGGGTCATATTTACCTTTTATAGAATTATGCACGTGTAGGTCCCAGCACGGCACGGCTGTCGCCCGACTGATTTCTGTTTTAAAGCGCATAGAACATGTTGTTGACGCCAGCTACTGAGAAGAACGACAGCGTCGCACGCGTATTTACAAAAATACATGCATTTTAAAACACGCAGGGTCATTTTGACCCAACCTCAATGACGCCGGGTTAACATGTTCACTGCACACCTTGATCTACTGGCGGCCGGCGACACCTAGTTGTACGGAAACTAAAACTTAGGTGTACTTGGTTAAACTTAGGTGTATTTTATTCATTTAAAGCTAAAACTGACAGAATAGGCACAAAAGGAATCCTGCCACCTAACTGTTTGGTTATACATACGAGGGCGGCACTGAAAATTTCGGGAATCAAGGAAGTGACACAACATCACTATTTAAAAATGTATTTATTGCTTTTCGAAGTATTCTCCGCGAAATTTGACACATTTTTCCATACGATGGAACCAATCATTGAAGCAACCATTCCATTCGGAAGTTGGGGTCTCCAAAATGGCCGTTTTGTAGGCGTCCACAGCTTCTTCATGTGATGAAACTCTCTGTCCACGCAATTTATTCTTTATTTTAAGGAAAGTATAGAAATCATTAGGGCTTAGGTCGGGGCTGTACGACGGATGGTCTAATAATTTTATGTTTTCTTGCTCTAACAACTCTTTTGTTCTGTGTGCGGTGTGAGAACTCGCATTGTCGTGATGGAGGATGATGCGGCGGTTGCAGTTCTCTTTACGGAGTTCAGAAACGACCTGTGGCAAACAAATGCTAGCATACCATTCTGAATTAACCGTTCTTTGTCCCTCAAGAGGAACAGTCGTAACATGGCCGGTTCTGGAGACAAACGTGGCCACCATTTTTTTTGCAACACTCCGTGAACGAACATTTTTTGTTGGCTTTAACTCATTTTCGAACAACCAAACTCGTGACTGGTTTTTTATTTCGGGTTCGTACGCGTATATCCAGGATTCGTCACCTGATACGATGTTGTATACAGCATTTGAGGATCCTGCGTGGAATCTATTCGAGAGTTCTAACGCACCAATTAACGCGAGCCGCATTTTGCTCTTCACAGAGCGAATGCGGTATCCATCGGGAAAACAACTTTTTTACACCTAATTGTTCATGCAAGATTATTTATATTTGACTCATGCCAATGTCTAAAGTTGCCTGCATTTCGCGGTATGTCACATGTCGATCTACCTCAATCAGCTTACGCACAGCATCAACATTTTCTTGGGTGACTGCAGTTTTTGTACGACCTTGACGGGGATCATCACTGAGCTTGACACGTCCACGTTGAAATTCAGCAAACCAGCGATAAATTGTGGCTTTGGATGGGGCTTCATCACCAAATGCAGAAATCATCCGGTCAACACACTGTTTTTGTGTTAAACCACTTCGAAAGTCATAATAAATCATCGCTCTTGAATTTTCTCGAGTCAATTCCATTTTCTCAACGACTAAACAAGTTTGACAAAACCTTGTGAGAAGACCGAGAATCTTTTTTTAAATAAATAAATGGTGTTCGATTTTTAAAACCAAGGACTTTTCAATTAAAAAAAATTTATGACAGGCACAGTGGAAATATTCCATTCCCGATACTTTTAGTGCAGCCCTCGTACTTACATCTGTACCTACACAGACAAAATGGAGTGATGGATTGGTTTGGTTCTCATTCTACACTATATCCATCTCATATCTACATAAATATATTATATACATTGTTACACCAAATGACTAAACTACAAATGAAAAAAAGTGTGATATATTATGTATTGTAATTTAAGAAAAAAAATTTACTAACTGAATCATATTAATAAATAATATTTAGAATTTTTCAAGACACTAGAACAACACAAAATTACACATAAATTTTTAGATGACCTTTACTTAAAAAAGTTTGTGAACATATGACATGTGAATGATAATGTAAAAAAAAAAACATACATTACATAACACAACCTTTTTATTTTTGTAAAAAAATTCAAACCGAACATACCTTCCCATAATTGCTCAAGAAATGGCCCACATCATTGTTAATACCCTTCCTTTTTTTCTTACCACAGCTCTTTAGGACAGTCTTTGATATCATGAGTTGCCTCTCTTCTTTCTGCTTTAGTTTCTCTTCTTTTCGTTTCTGCATTAGTTCTTTGTAGTTGATATATTCTCTTTTGGGCGGTTTTGCACCTGCAAAACAAAGTACTATTTTATATATATGGAAAGAAGAAAAATGAGCTCCATTCTCCAGAAAAATCCATTTTATGCTAGACTAGCCTCAGCTTCGCGCGGTTTATTTTTGGATCTCGACAACAACACCACCTACCAGGTCCAATTGTGAATCTCAACCATTCTCTAATCAACTTAATCACACACACAAAATTTCATTAAAATCGGTCCAGTGGTTTAGGAGGAGTTCAGTCACATACACATGCACAGAAGAATTATATAATATACTAGCTGGTACCCGGCCCGTTGCTACCGCGGAAGAAATAATTGTGAAAATATAATTTTAAATTTGGAAGTATGTGTTACGTAGTTATGTAATGATTAATGCAACAAATACGAATATTCGTATTCGCCGAATAGTAGACATTTACCGAATATTCGTATTCGGCGAATACTAATCACGAATATTTAAAATTTTTTACGCGTCGTCTGCGCGTAAAAAAACAGACGTGTGTTTTGGCCCTTAGCCTCAACGACGGGGGACTCCCCGGCTCCGGGAGTTTCTCTATCATTACGAACCGTGGATTGATTGATTGTCTGTCAAAATCACATTTGACAGTCGAACGAAAGCACAGGTCAAGCAAGAGAGCACTGTTTAATTTAATTGTTTTGTGAGGTTGCTGCAAAGTGAAAGAAAGAAGTTGAAGTTAAAATGCCTTGTCGTAAACGAGATCAAAGTGACATATGCAAACACTTCGATAAATTACTGAATAAGTAGTTATATAGTCTGTATTTCATTTGTATCAACAAAAGGTAGGTAAGTAATGGCTATGTCTATGTAGTACTAGACTTTACCTGCGACTTTGTCCGCGCAGACTTCGGTTCTAGTAACTTTTCCCTTCCCATGGGAATATTGATTTATTTTTCTGGATAAAAGTAGTCTATGTATTAATCTGGTGTATAAGTTATCTGTTGTCTCCATTCCAAACAGTCAAATCCGTCCAGCGGTTGCAGTGTGAAAGAGTAATAAACACACACACATAAGATAAGATAAGATAAGCCATTTATTCCAAACTTTGGGATTACATGATTATGACAATAAATAGTTGCAGATTAGGTAATGTATAAATTAAAGGATGTCCCGCAGTTCGGTGTGCCTCTTGGCATAGGCCTCCTCCAACATTTTCCACTGGGTTCTGTCGTGCGCTACCCTTCTCCAGTGATGACCAGCTGTGAGTATGAGATCGTCTTCCCATCTCATCTGTTGATGCCCTCTATTGCACTTGCTATCTCTGGGGTACCAATCAGTGACGCTCTTAGACCATTTGTCCTGGGGATCTCGGATCATGTGGCCTGCCCACCTCCACTTTTGTTGGTCTATTCGGGTAATTATATCGACTACTTTTGTTTTTCCCTTATTGTGCTACTTCTTACTTTGTCTAACTTCCTTATTCCTGTTAAACTTCTTTCCATGGGTCTCTGACAGAGTTTCAACGTTTCTCTGTGAGATTTGGTGAGTGCCCAAGTTTCGCATCCATAGGTGATGACTGGAAGTATACACATGTTAAATACTCTACTTTTTAATTGTATGCTTAACTCCTTGGATTTCACGATTTCTTTTAAGGACCCAGTATCTCTTCCACCCATTCGCTGTTCTTCTCTCAATTTCTTTGGTGGTTTGTTCTTTGTGAGAGATTATCTGTCCTAGATATATGTATTCTGTCTCATATTCTAGTGGTTGGTTGTCAATATCAATGGTTATTGTTTCAGGGTTTGTGAGTAATTTTGTCTTTTCTTTGTTCATGGATAGAACTACTTTCAAACTTTCTTCCTGCAGTGATTTTAATATGTTCTTTAGATTTATCGGGTTTTCATCAAACAGGACTATGTTATCCACAAATCTCAGGTGGTTCAGTTTGACACCTTGCAAATTGAGGCCGAAGTTGTTCCATTCTAGTTTGCGGAAAATACCCTCCAAAGCAGCTGAAAACAATTTCGGTGATAGAGGGTCCCCTTGTCTCACTCCCTACTTTATCCTGAACTTTTTCCTAAGGTTTCTAATTGGACCCTCGCTTCACTATTCGAGTAGATGTTCTTGATAATATTAATGTAAAGTATTGGTACTCCTTGTTGTTCCAGGCTCTCCCATAATGCATTGTGGCTTATACTGTCGAAGGCTTTTGAGTAGTCGATGAATGCCATGTAGAGTTTCTTGTTATACTCGTTATATTTTTCCATTATTTGTTTTACGGTATGTATGTGATCCAGAGTGGAGTATTTTTGTCTAAATCCAGTTTGCTCTCGTGGTTGGTTTTCATCTAGTTGTTTACTTATTCTTTCCAGGATAACTTTGGAGATCACCTTGTAGATATTTGACGTCAAGCTAATAGGTCTATAGTTTCCTATGACTTCCTTTTGTCCTTTCTTAAATATAAGAATAATGTGTGATGTTTTTCATTGTGTGGGAATCAAGCCAGTCGCAAGTATTTCATTAAATATTAGAGTAAGTATGGGTAGTAGATCTTCCAAAGTGCCTTTGAGAAGTTCGTTCATAACTTTATGAGGCCCTGGGGCTTTTTCCATCTTCTGACTACATATTGCTTTTTCTATTTCAATGGGGAGTATTTCTGGCTTAAGATCAACATATTCTTTGGTGATTCTTGATTCGTGTTTTTGTTTTTTGTCCGGATCAGAGTAGAGGTCCTGGAAGATTTTGGTAGCTATTTCATTTATATCTTTACGATTTGAAGAAATTTTCTCCTTTTTGTAAAGCTTTCGTATCCATTCTTTGTTTGTTTCACGAAGTTCTTTAAGCAAACACACACACATACACACTCACAAACTTTCGCATGTATAATATTAGTGGGATGGGATTTTAAAATTTATTTAATGTATTGTTTTTATTTTTGACAATGAAAGCGAAGCTCGATTCAATTTTCAATTCACAAGCATTGTGCTTGTAAATTGTCTCGGGGAGAGAAAAATGCATCTATTAAAGGATTTACTACGAGCGCACTGTGGACTCATGTGAAGAGATTTCATCAGAAGGAGCTTGCTGCCAGTATAAATACTGTAGATGAAACAAGCACTGAAGTTGAAGTAACACCAGCGAGAAACATGCGTCCTTAAAGGAAATATGGGAAAAACGTACTACATATGAAACTGATGATCCTAGGGCTGTCAAAATCACATATTTGATTGCTGAACAAGTTTGTCTAGATATGGAGCCCCTGGATTTGGTAAATAAAAAGGAATATCGTCGTTTGCTCAATGAACTAGCTCCAAGGTTTGTTTGGTTTTATTTAAATGCCACACTTTTCCCACGACTGTGTCAGCGCAGACGTCAGTTTTAACCGCTTTTCCCCTCCCATGAGAATTTTTTTATCGAGATAAAAAGTAGCCTAGCCTATGTTTTAATCAGAATCAAGGTATTTAAGCCTATCTTCATTACAAATTTCAGCCAAATCCATCCAGTGGTTGAACACACACATACACACACACTCACAAACTTTTGAATTTAATTTATAATATTAGTGTGATACTCTTTCAATTTTCACACAACATTTTAATCACTCAACCTCTGCATTCAAACAACTAAAAGATTCACAACAAGCTAACAACATACCGAAACATGTTTTGTTTCAAGATGTTGAAACTAGATGGAACTCAACATATCAGATGTTGAAGAGATTACATGAACAACACATAGCAATTCAAAATGTTTTACGATCTCTACTAAATTGTCGTCATAATATCACAGCAAGGCAATGGGCTCGCTCTTTGAGCCAAATTATTGGTATTTTGGCCAATTTTGAAGAGGCTACTATAGAGCTAAGCAAAAAATCAACAACATTAACTCAAGCAATCCCAATAATATGAAGTCTTAAGTCTTGCCTCAATAAAATTAGCAGTGATCCTTCTTCTCATCCTGATGTAAAAAATCTGGCAAACTTCCTACTCAGTCAACTTTCAAATAGATGTGCATTTATGGAAATTGATAAAACTTATCTATTAGCAATGATCCTTGACCCACGTTTCAAAACAAGGATTTTCAGCACATCAGTGGTCGCTTAACCGCTCGATCAGTTCTTAACACTGCTGTTGATGACAGAGAGGCCATAAGACCGACAAGACCCCCAGAAGAACCTCAAACATCGACAAGTAGAGGAATTAGGCAATCATGCCAAGAAGTAATTGAAGAGGCCAAAATGGAAGAGTCAATTTCAAAATTTTCTGGTGAGCATTAAAAAGGAAAGTTAGTAACTTTTAATAGGTAATCATTGTCATCTACATAGTAAAAGTAAAATTTAATTCCAAAATGTTTTTACAGGGGATTCACAAACTAAAAACGAGATAGATGCTTATCTAAAGCTCCCAAATTGACCGGCAACTGCTGATCTATTGATCTTTTGGCAAGAAGATGTCCATTTTCCAAGGCTGAAAAAACTCAACCAAAAATATTTTTCAATGAAACTATGTACAGTCGTCTCGGAAAGACTTTCTTCAATGGCTGGGAATATTCAGACTGAAAAGAGAAATTTCCTAAAACCGGAAAATCTAAAATTATATGTTTTTTAAATAAAAATTTGCCTATTGTAAATTTTAATTATTAGAACAATAGAAAATCATCAAATAAATTAGTTTTTTCTTACCATGGCGAGATATTCGTACTCGTATTCGCCAAATAGCAGGTTTGATATTCGTATTAATATTCATAAAAGTAGTATTCATTGCATCACTAGTAATGATGTATAACTTTCAAATAAATTTGTCAGTATAATACATGTGCCACCTACTGTAAATTAATTGTACTATGTCTATAACCTTTCGAAGAAGTGCATGTAATATGTTGACAAAATTTTTACCACATTCTGATGAATGGTATGGCAGCATATAAAATACAAACAAAAAACATTAATTTTTACATATTAGTTAACCTTCCTCTTAAATCATTCTGTCAATTCATGAAAACTGTTGGTGTTGTTTTATACTATGTAGAGATGGTCACCACACTGTAACGCAGATGACTGAATAAAGAAATATATAAAAGAGGTTTGTTGTTGTTTAAAATAAGAACAATATGTTTATATTATCCAAATAAATGTCTATACAATCAGGAAACCTGTGCCCATGATCAACAGAAATAAAAGCTTACCTACCTTATATGTGTACCAAATAACATTTCATATTATGGTTAATATAAAAAAAATATGCGATTAATATATTAAAATAGGTAAATCCTTTTACCTAAACTAACGGCTAAAGCAATTTTAGCTTCTTCCTTTTTAGTGCCATCAAAACCAGACATTCCAAATTTTACTACTTCATGGCGAATTTTCTTAAGGTCTAAATCTTTCTTTGAATGCATTACTTGGTTATCACTCGCAGTCTTACTTTCTTCATTTTCTACAGGTTCCTTTTTTTTAGATTTATACGATTCAAATTTAACCACTTTAAAATTACTTTCAGCATTTTTTAAGGCAAGAGCTGCCTTGGTCAACACAATTGACATCCTATATCTTAATATATGTTTTTAAAACATTTAAAATTATAAAGTTCAGATTACTGTAAAGCTCAAATTCCAATCAATAATCAATTAAAATTTGTGATTCCAATTTCAATAAACAATGACCCATCCATGTGTTTCTGACAGTGAGCTGGTTTTTTTTATAACTGGCTTAACGGCTCTGGGTTCTAGTCCTTCCGAGCCTGAAATTACAATGTATAATTATCCTTCATAGTACACTACTTCACAATATGTTGATGTGTCACATTGTGCAGCCCTTGGGAGATTTTGACGACAACTTGAGCCAGCAGACAGCTGACTTTTGGCGATGGTATCACAAGGCGTCTAAGCAGGCAGACACCTTATCTTGAGAATCACATCACCATCAGAGCACTTGTTTCACCGTTACCACTAATAGTTCACATGCGCAGACACCTAATACACAAAATTGCACCACTTTTACATATCAAAATTCACTCAAAACCATTATTTAAACAATAATACCGGAGCAGTAAACCACCGCCGGTCAAGTTCCCGCCAAAACCACTTAGCTGAGTGAGTGGGTGATAACCAAAGAGTGTAGTAACTGTCTGATAATCTCCATACAAATATTCTTGGCCTTATGTCTTTGGGCCTTGAGAATTGATTTTTATTTAAACCCCCCTTTCCCCAGCCTATGAGTTTGGAGTATATATATATATATATATATATATATATATATATATATATATATATATATGTGTGTATGTATATATAAATACTGGGAGACGTATTTTAAATAGCACATCTCAAAAATATTAATTACTAGCTGTTCCCGCGACTTCGCTCGCGTGTTAGGGTTTATTTTCTTTGCGCGGAACCTTACTTCTTTTTCTAAAATAAAAGTAGCCTAAGTTACTCCTTATGACATCAGCTATCTGCCAGTGAAAGTCCCGTCAAAATCGGTTCAGCCATTTCGGAGATTAGCCGGAACAAACAGATAGACAGACGACAATTTTAAAAATTGTATTTTAGTTATAAGTACCGTATTTACTTTCATATGCATTTAGTAAAAAGCTGTTTTTTACTAAATGCATATGAAATTTTGACATTACAAACAGACACTTCAATTTTATTTATTTGTATAGATTTAAACTGCACCCGTGTAGTTTAGAAATAAAAAATAGTTAAAGATCGCTCACCTTTATATCGTCGATATTACTTCAAATAATTAGAATTGGGTACAGTAAAAAACTTTGTGGCATTCTTTGGGGGAGGCCTATGTTCAGCAGTGGTCTTGTGAAGGGCTGTAATGATGATGATGATGATGATAGTAAAAAAAACTGTAATATAATTGCACCATCGTCAAAAAGCATAAAATGCAATATTAAGTTCAAAAAGATAATAACACCCGCCTTCCTTTTAGAACTTCATGCACATTTTCATAGTTAATTCCAGAACTCGTGGTTTGTATAAAAGTTTTGTTAATATGTCAGCAAGCTGGTCTTTGGCACATCTTTTCAGCACATCTAAATTTCTTGCTTAACACATTCTCTTATAAAAAAGTGTCGTATACGAATATGTTTCGTTCGATGGGCTAGCTTTAAAGTGGACACATTGTCAAGATGTAGTCTGGGAATACTATCACAAATATCAACTAAAAATCTAGCGGCAACTAGTTCAGCTTCTGTAGATGTTATAGTTTCTATGACATCAGTTAGAACAGTGATTCTCAACCAGTGGTCTACGGGCCACCAGCGGTCCGCAAGAGGTTAAAAATATTATGATCCGCGAAAGATTTAAATATTTCACCTACCTATTCGTTTTAAATAACATATTTATTATTTTCTCGTCACGCGGGCAATACAATACCACGCGTTACGTTATTAAGCACCTAATAGCTTTTGCAATAAATACACAAATAATACTGCTGGAGACGGTACTCAATACTACTGTATGGTTTTTTTTAATGTATATTTTCTCATAACTTTTTACTGAGTAAACCGATTTCGATGATTCTTATTTTTTATTTGAAAGCTAGTGCTTTACATATGATCGTAAATTTGATGAAGGTTTGACAAATAGTTCCTGAGTTATTTTTGATAATTTATATTGAAGTCGATTGTACAAAATTTTTAATTTTAAATTATTGGGAAGTAACATCCCTTGAGCGAATACATTTATGATCTATTTTATTCCAAATTCGATAACCATTGTGTCCTTTATAACCCAACAGGATTCCTTTTTGAACTTTCTTGTCAAGTTTCATTTTATTTTGTTTAGGAATATGAATTAGCACTGACAACCTATAATTCCCAGATGTTTAATAGCTGGTTTTTTGCCATGCCACAATTCATGAAGAGACTTTCCTGCAATCTTCGTTGGCCCTGTCCGATTTAAAATGTAAACAGTGGTATTTACGATTTCAGCCCTTAGTCCTTTTGGTATTTGGTGCATATAATATTTTAAAAATGGGGGCTGTATGGGCATAGGTCCTTTTGCCATTACCTGTAAATATTTAAAAACGAAAGTATCTTTTTGATGATTGACGTTTGACGTTGACGTTGTTTTTGATTTTGAATGTAAAAATAAAAATGATTTGAATATTTTTCAGGTGGGCTAGTTATTAATAGAGTGGTCTTTGTTTATTTTTAATTTTATTGCGGATACGTTCGTGCTGAGCTAAAAATAAAGTAACCGATATTGACTAGTTAAATTTAGCCACAGGGATTTTAGCAATAATAGACTCTTTGAATTTAGTATAACAGGTAACGAAGCCAAATGATACTGAAAGCTGAATTTATATCATTGATTCGATGTTCAGAAGTTCAAATAAATTCGGTGTATATGTTATTTGATTCCCAATATATCCGTCATAATTTATACCTTTATATTAATTAGAATATTTTTTAAGTTTGTAGGCAGTGATGATATTTCATAAAATAATTGAAAAACAAGCAATAAAGGCATGAAGAACAATTTTGGGAATATGGATACGGCTATAAAAGCCGGAGAACTTTTGATGACTGAGAAACCTTTTGCGTACGTACTTTCATCGAAGGAAAAAGGATTCAGATGTGATAACTGTTTACAAAAGTGAGTTTTTTTATACTTATTTTCAGTAACTCACGAAGTTCCTTTTTACGTTGTTAAATAGACAATTTTTTATTGAAATTTATGATTTTTATACTTTTATGTATTTTTTGTTATGTAATTAAATATATCAATTGTTAATTTCGTAACTGCATTGTAATTTCATATCACCTTCATAATAATTTTATTTCAGTTTAGCTATGTAAGTATAATACTAATATTACATAACTGGTGTAAAAATTGTTAACTAATTTTATGCTTATGCATCTGAAAGATGAAAATAAAGGATCCTTACCACCAATATGAATTTAAATACAAAAATTATTTTTATTGTAAACTAGTGGCTCGCCCTGGCTCCGCACGGGTGATTTCTGAATATCAACAAAGCCCCACCTACTAGGTCCAAATGTAAATCTAAACCATCTAAAAACCCATTCAAACGTCCAACAAAAAATTCATCAAAATCAGTTGAGCTGATTTTCTTCTCTTTCAGGATTCTTTATTTTAGTATTACATAATGATCATTGCTTAGAGTTAATACCTTTTTAGTTGTATAAAAAATACTAAGAATGCTTTACCATTACCATTACAGTCTATTAAAGTGCACTGCTGAACATAGGCTTTCCCCATAGATTGCATCATAGGGGGGATAATTGCCATAGTTGCCACGCTTGGCAAGTGGATTTGCAACCACAGTTTTTTTGTTTTTGGTCATTATTAGGAAGATGCTGCTGTCCATTTCCTGATATGTTTCCCTCTGTCGCCACTTACGACACCCACGGGATGATATGGGAAAGAATGCTTTCTACTTAATTAATCCTTAAAAAGTTCATAAGAGTTGTTAAAGGGCAGATTATAAATCCACAACTTTTAATGGTTTTTTACCCATATACCACATTTAAGCATTGTTATAATATCTCTTATTACAGATTAAAGGTCCTCAAATGTACTGGATGTCAGTTTGTGCATTACTGTGGCCGCTTGTGTCAGCGTGATGCATGGAACGAACATAAGGTAAGTTAACTTATTATTTTATTATCTGTAAGGTCAATTATTTTATGTATTCATTTTAGCAATTTTACTATTCTAAGCCAGAGCTTGATTAGTAAGTGGTTACTGGTGATGCAGCTGAAAACTAAATACATATGTTGTGTTCTAATAAGTAAAATGCCCATGAAGCTCCCCTTTTTCTTGTACGAAAGAAACTTACTAACTACATTTAAAATTTTCAGTGGGAGTGTGCTAATTTAAAGAGAGTTGCCCCTAAGATCATTCCAGATGGTGCTCGAATGTTGGCAAAAATCATAAACCGACTAAGTCGTGGGGATGGCTACACATACCATGCCTTTTATTCTCCAATATCATTTCGTATGTGGAAGGATCTAATGTCTCGTAAATATCACCTTTTTTGTTTTACTGTATAATAATTTTAGGTTGAAAAGTATGTTAAGTTACAAAGACCTTGCATTGCATTTGTCTTGTTTTAACATTTTACTTGTTGAGCCATGCTTTAGTGTATTATGGCTGCAGTACAGGTAGGTTGGCTCAACTGCTTGAAGTAGCAGCAACCAGAGTCCCTTTTGACTGGTATCAAGGATTCTCATTTGGCTATCAGAGGTAACAAAACATTGCTTCATTTTGTTTCTTAATCAAGGGTGACAATTATACAGTCCACCTGGATAGTAAGTGGATGACTTACACACCACCCTTAATTATTAAAAAAATAGCTATAAACATGCAACATTCCAATCTCTACATTGATTAACACTGGCTATTAGAACATGTTAAAAATATTTTTCTTTATCTTACTTTACCATTACAGCCTACTAAAGTTCACTGTTGAACATAGGTTGCCTCATGGTAGGGATATTTGCCATAGTTAGCATGCTTAGCAAGCGGGCAACTATGCCAACAGCAGTTTTTTTTATTTTTAG